TTGTCATGCTTAGCACAGAATAAATAGAATGTTCTCAAAGATGGATGCTTCACTTTCACACTTCTTGGAGATATGCAAGTACCAGAACATTCTCTTCGATTTCACTTTCGTCTACTTTTCGCATATATTTTTGATGAAGAATTCTGATACAAACGAATATTGTTCGAATAATTCTGATACAAAATTTGAAAATAACAGTTGACAGTTAATACAATTGACAGACCAGACATGTCTCAAATTACTGAAGCTGTGTTTAATGAACTGTGTTGCCATGGTAATGTGTTTAAGGAATCGTGTTGCCATGGTAACGTGTTTAATATTTTGAATAAATCACAGATCGACAATCCGTGATTGATCGATCATTTAACGTGGTACATATCCGTACGCTAAATGCCATTTTAGTTATGTGAGTAGAAAAAATATATTTCTTCACATTTACAATATCCGAGACAATATCTTCTCACCTTGACTTCCTCTATCCACGCCATTAGGCTATGGCTGGTTAGTCATGACTCACCCTGTATATGTAAAAGGTGTAATGAACCTTGCTGTGGACATTTAGTTTTTTGGTGTTTTTGAGAAAAATATTTCATATTGTCAATTTATCACCATTCTACTATGAATCGTTTAATAATTTTCAAAATCATTTTGATTGGTACACCTATCATTATAGTTTCACCTTGAATTTTATTTTTGTATAAGAAATCCGAATGCATAAAATTATACAGCATTTTCTATTATGAATAACTCAACATACAAATTGTACTCGAACAATTGACTTGTTAAACACCATATGGATACATCAAATTTTACCTGGGATTTTACGAAGAATACCGTCCTTTCATGAGCGAATTCATTTATTATATCATTACATTATCAATTTCAAACAATCAATGTGTCAGAGCTAAAACTCGTTATTATATAGAGACTAATTACGACAAATTACCAATATCTATATATACCGTTGGCGAGAAAGTTTACCAACCTCTCATCAAAAGCTTTCGAATTCTGCGAAAACAATTTACAGAGATAAGAGCGGCAATAAAACGAGTTGATTAAATATTTCATTTTCCCGACAGTTCTCTCGTAGATCTCAATTCTGTAATTACTTTAATGGCCGAATAGGAAAAAACACATACAATCGCTGTTCCATCCACTTTTATCGACGATGAAACCGCCGTTCCTCAAAACTACGACATCACGTTTGTTTTCCGTGAGAATGTTATTGAATGGGTTGAGTGGATGGGATTGTGAGGATTTCAACATACATCAAACAGAATTTATAATGATAAGTACATTTTTTTATTCACTCTCCTGTTTGGAAACAGGATTTGTTGAACTGATTCAACATTTTTTGTTGCGAATCAACTTTGTGTGAAGACGATGCCGATTAAAAAACAACACGTCATATTGTTTAAATAGTAGATTGTTTTATTAGGATCAAAAGTGACAAGCGAATTTTGCATTTGCGAGGCGGAGCGTTTAGCGAAGCCAAGCGAAAGCAAAATTTGCGAGTCAAACAAAGTCACTTTTGATCCGAATGAAACATTCTATTTTTTCTGCGACCGAAAGAATAAACTCGAATAAATATGTGAAGTAACCACCAATGCCGTGCCATAAGTATGCAATGCAACAAATAATCTGTGTGGTGAGAATATTCTACCTGCATTAACAGCAGGTTAATTCAATTTTCAAGGATGTTCGAATTGTAGTTGCAATATGAATACAACCACAGAGTGACATATTTGCATGTGCTCTTATGGTTAATACCGCGTCAGAGCGTTACCACCGATAAAACAAGGCCAGCAGACTCTGACGTAAACAGCTCGTGACGTCGCATACTCAGGCCATCTTCCAAGGCATTCGCGTCGATCGATCGTCAGTTTGTTTTTGTTTAAGAACGGTGGCGTAGGTAAATCGCGTGTGCTCGAATTCTCTTGTTGTTTATTCATCAAAATAATTGGCGGAGAAATTACTGTTTTGTGAAATATTTCGTGTTGTGATAGGCGAAATAACAATGCCTTACAAGTGTTGTGTTCCCTTTTGTCGGGGGAATTATGTGGGTGGTCCAAAAGTTCATGCTTTTAGTTTTCCGTTGGACAAGGAACTATCGAAAAAGTGGGTACATGCAATTCACCGCAAGGATTTTACGACTCCATCTAAGTACAGTAAAGTATGTGAATTACATTTTACTAAAGATGATGATATTATTACTTCATCTACTGCATAACCGATTCAAAAACTGGCAAAACTGTAACAATAGATTTGAAAATTCCTAGGCTCAAACGAGATGTTATGTTATTCCCACTCAATTTACCAACTGTCCATCTTATTTATCGAAAGATGTAAAATTACGCACATGTCGTGATGAAAAACTTGAGATACTACAGACTAAAAATTTGGCACAAGCACTTACCAAAAGTAATACTGAATTCGAAAATTACCAAAAATCATTTTGCTACACACAATTTCAAGAATTTCTAGTTGTATTAGAGTCTTTTCAGTTGCCCGAAAAGTGGTTCAAAATTATCGATTTGCAAAAAGTCACATTATTCGAATTGTCTTATTCTCCAGGGCCCGTAATTACATATTATTCGGTTGTGATTGATTTTGTTTTGAATGTGGAATCATTTTTGTATGACCTAGCGATACAAACATCTCTAAAGCCAATCTGAAAACACCTTTTATCTCTAATAATATCAATCAAATCAAGGAATTACTAATTGAAATAGATAAAAACGAGATACATAATTCGGGAAAATGTCTTGATAATCAGAAAAAGAGGGTTTTGAAACATATTTCCTCGCATATTTCGAATGCATTGGACTCTTTGGTTTCTGACTCAATACATTCTCAAATTTCTTTCTGAAAACGGTCATTTGCCTCGTGGCAATGAATGCAGAATTCATTCCAATGATCAAATTGCAACTATTATATTAACATGTACTACAAACACTCTGCTTAAAAATTACTGTTTCAAGTCTAACGACCAATTGGGTAAAAAATCCAACAACAGGAAATTGAAAACACTCACTGGCTAATTTTTTAGGTAATAGGAATTCTCCAAGATAAATATAGGTAATTAGGTATAACAAACGGCATGTCTATCAAACTAAAATACATTTTCCCCAATTTTCTTTCGATCAATCTCATGATAAGTTTATGTTCTGCGGGCCCTGTATAAGTAGGTGTGAAGTTTACCTCTAATGAGATTGAATCACTACAATTTTTGCCAATATATTTAATTCGAATGAGTTGCTGTAGGTAGGTATTTGTGTTTTATTCTGGTTTTTGCTTTGAAACTTCGTTTTTCCATAATAAAATCGAATGAGATGCGAAGAAGGGCTCAGTTGACGGCTGGCATCATCTTTCAAACGGAAGCCCTTCAAAAAAAAAAGCAAAATCGGCTCAATAATGATCTAAAACTGAAATCGAAATACGCGGTCGCCTTATAGCGCTATAAGCGCTTGTCGTTTCGAGCCACTGGTTAGGCCTGACTAAGTGACGTCACTCACGGAGCATGCAGGCCTTGTTTTATCGGTGGTAACGGTCAGAGCCAGGTATAGGAACAAGACGTGGAAAATGTTAGGTTAGTGAGCATATCAACAATAATAGCGTTAAAAAGGAATATTCTCAGATATAATCATGAACATAAAAAATTGATATATACAGGGTATAATTCAATTGATGGCTGAAAATAAAGGATATGGTTCCTAAGCTCATTTTGAAAAGGAAAAATCATATGAACATATGCCCTAAACCTCTTAAATTTTGAGGAAAACTTCGTTTTTTTTTATCATAACTTCAATACCGTTCTAGTTATTTCGATGACATTTGACATGCACCTACTAGGCACCAATATGCATTCTTTTATGCAGACAATTTTTAGATATATCTACCAGTGGCGTACGTAAGGGATGTATCCTGAAGATTTTTAGAAAAAACTATTGTACGCCCTCGATTTTTCCGAGAAAAAAAATCATTTTTGAAATCTTCATTTTTTTGCAACAATTTGACTCCCTGATTTTTTCCGTCCGATGATCCGTTTTCGCGTAAAAAAATAAAAACAATTTTCATGCATTTGTGGAATAACGAAATTATTTTGAACTAGTAGGCTAATGTCCTATTTTGTATTGAAATAATGACATTTGATTACGTTGCGGTCTTATTTAGACCGCACTATTCATAAACGTGACAGTTTTTTACATTGTGAAAAATTCATTATTCAATTAAATGTTACCACCCTATAGTTCGAAAGTTAAGAGGTTTAGGAAACATGTTCATATGAACTTTTCTTTTTAAAATGAGGTAAGAGGAACCATATCCTATATTTTCAGCCATCAATCAAATTCGAAATTACACCCTGTATATATGAAGAAGTACATTGAGAATTCGCATTCTCTATGTGATGAAAATATGAATTCTTTCTCGGTTTATTCAACAGAAAACAACTACTTTCCTGGCTATATGCCATGACGAACATTGAATTACAAAATCGTCTGAAGTAGAGAATTTGTTTCCACGTCCTGTATGGATGAATATCGATTTATCATTCATGAAAAAAATAATGATTGCGATTATTTATTTCTCTCCATACTCCACTGTGTTTGGCTTGATAATCAAATGTAGGTGAACAATATCGTAGTTTGATATACAGACACTAAGGTGTATTTATATCTCCAGCATGGGTATGAAATGCCAAATCTGTCGAAATCGGCAACAAATCAGGTATGCGTCCCAACCCAAATAACCAACCATAACAATGTTGTTCATTCTTGATGACCTCTAGAACATCCTTTTTAGTTCCTAGGAGCTAGAGTTCAACTTCAGCTCCTAGGAACTGAAGTTCAACTTTAGCTCCTAGGAACTAAATGTGTTGCCTAGCAACATACCTATTTTTGTGTCAGTAATAGAAACGTCAATTGAAGAGGTAATTTTGGTATCAAAATAGAGGACTTTTATGTCGGTTGCAGAAAAAAGTAATATAATTCAATACTTACGAATGGTACTGGGCTTGTAAAAAATTAAATTCTTCTTTTATCCTCTCTAAGGTATCCGCTATTGTAAATTTTATTTGGCCACCCTGAGGTGGCGGGCCCTGTAACAAAAAAAAATTATATGTAGTGACAGAAGCGATGACAGAAAACAAAAATTATTGATCAAAGAATAAACTTCCGTCGAACAAATAATGTTTGAAAATTATGAACAAAGTTTGACTGGAACAGTATTATTCAGAGGTCTACAGCCGAATCAGAGCGTTTGCCTTTGGCGAAATTAATAATTAATTTTGAAGCAGATTTAATTGTGTACATACGCTTCCTATATATATTCTGAAATAAGTCGAACCTTTTGCCCAGGCACACAAAGTCACAAGCCCAGTGACAGGTATATGCACCAGGGTATTCAAGTGATTTCTTTGGAATATTTAGGATTTTAATATTACCCACAGCTCAAGTAATGCCGAGTTAAATAGTTAAATGACAAGACATACAGAGTGTTTCCAAAATTAAGACAATACATAAAATGGGAAGACGAAAAAGCGAAACAAAATGAATATAAAAAAATATATTTTGGAAGATATTGATATTGCCTTTTGTAAATCATTGATCAGAGGTTGATAGCCCAACCCAAGCGTTTGCTTCCGGCGAGACCACAAGCACCGGAAGTATCATTGACCTTTGCGAAGTTGCCAGACATTCAATAATAGTCGAATAATAGTTAAAAGATGCATTGTTACAGTGGAAAGACACATTTTTTGAAAAATTTTCAAATTTAGTGATTTATACCATGTCATTATGTCTCATAGAACACCTCATTTTATTTATTGTCCCAATATCGGAAACACCCTGTATAGTAGACCTTAGTAAACGATACCACTATAAAATAAATGTTCCAGTATGTCCCTCACAAATGCTCACAAATAGAATGTCGTACCCAGAACTGAACCCATAGGTGTTTTGTTGCTGTGGAATTTGGACTGGCCTATGTGCATGGTGAGGTGCATAGAATATATTAACTGTCCTTCGTATGTCATCCAAATTATATTAACTTCACCATTGATTTTTCTCAAAAAATGTTCTTGTATTCAGAAGTTCCATACAATGGGCTTATGTCACAAAACATTTTCATTTCATAATTCTATAGAACTCACCCACTTGCCGTGAGCTCCCTACGTTTTATAAAAAATTATTGAAATCCCCAATTTTTCGGACCTCTGAAAACGAGGCGATGATGTGACGTCAAAACCCTAATACTGAAACAAGACTATTCCAGACAGAGATGAATGATACATGATTTCTGACAGAGTGAATTAGCGCGAGATCACAGTTGAAAGATTTAATATATCAGTTGCCTAAGTCTCCGTCTACGTCATAAGAGGGTCCGTTTTCGGAAGGTACTATTATTTATGTCCAAAAATAAAACATTCCAGCTAATTTTCCGATCGAATTATGTCGTCAATCATTATTTATGTATAAAAGGATCTTTATAAACATGGTTTGAGTTGAAATTTCTACTAAGGTGTACAGTGTACACGCCCATTATGACTACCTAAGCTGAATAGTCTGTGTTTCTCTAACTATGTTAGCATTTTCAGGAAAATATTAAAACTAAATGCTCTATCCTAGTGGGTTACTTATATACTAAGTATATGTCCACGCACCCAACCCTGAATAGACAATAACCGCCAAGTTAATTATTCATGGTTGAGTTCACATGTTATATTACTAAACTATACAGTGGGCTAAATGGGATAGGTTCATCATCCTTATTAATTACTCTATTCAGTTTTACTACTAAAAATCCTTTTTTCGAAAAGTGCTTGTCAAAAAATTGTTGCCATTTGAAAAGAACTAGTTAGACACGGAAATGTAGTTTTGTCAACTTGTCTTCTTCCTATCTATCATACTATAGTCACTAAAATTATGCGATTATAATTTTCTGCATCACCTGAGATGAGTTTACGTCCGATCGTATAGCCACCTAGAAGCAATATTAAAAGTGACTTTGAAAATATGAAGTAGGCGTTACAATCTGGGAATGTCATGATCTGATCCAAAATTGTCTCAGGAATTCAAAAATTTTATAATATACAGAGTGTTCCATTTAAAAATTCAAAACTACAGCAATTTCCGGTGAGACCGGAAGTGACCCGGAAGTGAAATATATTATATGCGAAAACTTTCCTCTTCACATATCATATACCCATAATTAATAGACTCGTTGACACCCGGTATATATAGACGTAATTATTGTGATTCTGTATCGTGTATTGTAGACTGTAGTGTTCGAATTTTGTATAAATCGTTTTGTTTTCTACTGCGTGTTTGTGGAGACCGAACCCGGACGTTTATCGTAACAATACTCATTTCAAAATCATATAGGTACATGGATTTCTCTCCAAAGCGAGAGAGATCGAGAGAGAGATCAATGAGTTGTCGTTGGCTCGGGACAATAATCCCAACCTACTCAAAATACCAATCAAAATCCAAACATATCATGAATCGTTTATCTTTGTACTCAACATCGAAAAGCAAGCCATGTCGCGGGTATAGCAGAGTTATTAGCATGTGAGTGATGTACTTATACGATTTCGACTACCATGCATGGAAAAGCTGCTGAAGAAGTAGTACCTACTTATAGGTATTCGTATACACACCGTCACACACCCATAAAATCCATTAAAGAACCGTTGAAGTGTCAATAAATCTCGCAATAAATTGACTAGAAAATTCCGCACCTGATTATATTTTCGACCGATTAAAAGCCTGTATTTTGTATACTGATTATAGCAGCTGAACAAATTTCCTACATATTTTGACGTTTTAGGTAAAATGACATATTTAACTTCAGATTATTTTGAATTCATTGTGTAACTTGATAATTTTCAAGATATCATATATTCCTACCAACTTTAGCCAAATTAATTTGTACAAAAATATGTTTTATTATTTCATGTAACTTATGTCGCTTTTTATATTTTAGTTAACCTGTTTCTTGTCATGAAATATATTTCTACCAACTTTAGTTAAATGAATTTGTGAAATACTGAGAAATTGAGCTGTACTATCGACTTATTTTTTATTATTTTGTGTAAATTGAATAAATATGAGTTGATTGTGTTTCATTTAAAATAACAATGTTAAGGACGTGAATTTTATTACTACTACATGCTTCGAGTTACTTGTAACAAAATACATTTTCGCCAACTCTAGTGGAATAAAGTTAGTCATTAATAATGGTTTAAATCGTGTTTAAACTACCACCTGTTGCCTCATCAATAGTTTGCGTAACTTAAGTCGATATATTTTGTATTTTATTTAGCGTTATATGTCCTAGAATTTTTTTAATAATACTTTGGTTTGAAATTTTCTTACCGAATACCACTCTATATAGCTTCAATTAAAATTGAGATTGAAATCAAGTATATTAATTGAAGCTCTAGAGATTATTATATGTATAAGTGATAATCCATACTTGTGCCATTTAATGAAGTTGTATGGTGATGTGCATCATCAGAATAATTATCCTTCATTTTATCTAATACCATGAAATATATCACCAACACAAATCGAGACACAATTTATCATTCAACTGCTCCACAAGATTTAAGAATATTTCCAATTTCAGATAACATTTTCCCAGACCAATTTGAATAAGGAAAAAAAATATTTTAAAATGAATCCTATGGTTTTTTTTGTACAAGTAACTAATGTTATGTTTCATGATTCGATCCCAGAAATCTACCTACTTATCCCGATACCCCCCTATTCTGATGAAGTTGGCTTCGGAGAAAGATGACTTTTCCTCTGTCAGTAAAAATTTCAAAGGCTCATCTGAGTCAATAAAGTCCCTTATCATCACGATTCAAAACAAAGCAAATCGCTGTTGTGAAAAAAATACAGGAAATAGGCATTTGGAGAATATTATATTGTGTTATCTGTCAGCTAACTTTTCAAGAAATAATATAAGATGCCAGCTTATCATGTTCAATATTTGCTTGCAGCATATATTTACTTTGAACAAACCGAATTACTTTCTGTGTTAAGACGGTCAGCAAACAAAAATGTCATTAATTATTCAAGATATTACACATGTATATACAGTATGTCATACAATGAATACGAAATTTCACTTATTTCAATTCTTTTATTTGATGTACTGCAACAGAAACTTGAATTTACATTACTACACAGTTTTCTTTGGGTTGAGTGGAAGAACAAGTTATAGTGGTGACTCACCACCAAATTTGAACTCCGCCCTTTATTTTCTACTTTGAATTGTTCATTGTTTTAATATGATTATTATATTTTTATGTTGAAAATAATAAAGACGATTTATTATTATTATTATTATAAATCCTATAAACAGACCCCCTATTCAATCGACTATATCTCGAAATAGATTTTAGAAAAATAAATTATGATATACATGTACCTATTCAAGTAATACCTTCTCAAGTACCTACCTAATTGAGAAACAATGAGAAATAATATAAGATCATGCGTTTAAAATATAGGGATTCGGGATGTCCAACAACCTGGAAAACATTAATAGATTATTTCTTAATAATTATTGTAACTTTCAACGGAATCAACAAAAACAATCAAACATCAGGTCCATTTATTCTGAATGTTACCCCATCAGAACCCGATTCATGTTTCAAAAATGGAAACATGTCATTACATTATCATTTATGATCAAATCATTATTTTCACTTTACATGCAAGTAGATACTTTGCACAATTATAAAATTTTATTCTTCCGTTTGAGAAAAAAAGTCGGGGGCATTTTTTTGGGGCTAAGGGGTTGGATGAAAATGATCAATTTCATAAATAAAATTGGGTAAACTTATACAAAATGATTCACTATTTTTCTGAAAAATCAAGTTGGTGATAGATCTTCGAGAAATATTAAAGACAAAACTAGTTTATATAACCCCAAGTAGGGTTCAATGATGAGCTATACAGAGCATTGAAGTGCATGGATAGAGTTTTTTACTCGGTTTTTTATGATACCGACTTTGCTAATATTTTGTTATAGGTATATGTACACCTATATCGGGACCTATATCAAATATTTTTTCAATTGGGACCACAT